GTTTCTGGAATTAAAATATACATACATCTGCACCACGAAGTGTCTGAGCGGCTGTGGAGACACCGGCTGCAATAGAGAGGACCCAAGGCAAGCCACAAGAATAAAGCATCCAAAATAAATACGTTGAGAAGACAAGAGAGCAAGACAAGTACAGGTAGCGCAGCATACCAGCAGCATTGTTTAAAAGGTTAGATGATCGGGTGAAAGTCATAGTCCGGTATATATGATCGAAATCGGCATTCCGCCGGTTGACTGCTTCCAGATGTGCAGCCAAATGGCAGTTTGTAAAGCACATTATCCGATCAAATACCCTCAATCTCAAACCGACACCTCCCTGCAAGTGCAAATCGAGCAGCAATGAATCTATGCTATCTAACTACCTATTGGACATCAGATTTATGAAGAGACCCACAGCCAGTTATGTTATATATTCATAAATAGTGACGACGAGAACATAAACCATTTTACCTTATTACCAATTGCTCGGCCCAAACCACACGCAACTGCTGCAACATCCAGATCTCCAACATGTGTCCTAAGAGTTTTTCTCACCCTGAGAAGAATGATAAATGACCAACTTTAAGATGTAAACAACGTAACTAATACATTACTATTCTCAGATTAGAACTGAATGTAAAACTATACCAGATGGCTATCATTAGGCCAGCCAGTTGTCTAGACCCTACACGTTCAAATGTAGATTCTTCATCCAAAGCCTTGCCAATGTGATCTTGCCACCATTGTCCGATAGAACTTCCTTCTAGCCCTACCTAAGATGGACAGTAGCTCTCAGAAAAAAATAGAACATGAAAGACTTTTAAGGAAAAGAAAGACGCAACAAATAAAGTTAATTGTTATAACTTTGAGACATTCTGGAAGCACATTAAAGCCTTTAACAAATATGAAACTGCATCAGTCTGCAATACAACTGTTCATCAAAGAGAATTTATTACTTACTCCTATACAAGGAACTATCAAATGAGATACACTGGATTTTCAATATCATGTTCATGCAACAACTTACTATCACAAAATGACAATATTTCATGGCTGCACTTGAAGTCTCAAATCTTTCTAAGGAATAAATTGGCAATAAAACCAATGAACATGTACAATGGGCTTACAGTTTCTTTAGCAGCCGACATAGCAAGAAAACCAGCACCCATTTCAACCTCTTGTAGCCCGATAACCACGATACCAACATCTGGTAAAGTAGAGCCTATCCATGACATAAGAGCGTCATGAGAGGCTCTTCCTTGGCCAACATTCCATGTCCCAACTAAAATTCTGATGTTCTCTAGCCTGGTATAATCTTGTTCTTTCTTGGCTAATTCTACACGTAATATATTGTCCATAGGTGCTGGCGAGGAAACGTTCCATCCGCGTATACCGCCATGAGTCGCCAGGCTAAAAACAGAACCATCCCCAACTACCAATTTTATAACGGGACCATTATGGGCGACCCAACCGGCAATCAGATTACCATCAAGGTCCATGATCTGGACCATGCCGCTCACATACCCAATCCATATTCTCGACCCGTAAGAGCAAAAACAGAGAATGCCACAAGGATGGTGAGTGATTTCCTGCAAGCGATTGCCATTGCCATCCCACTGGATTAACAAGCCACTAGAAGACCCGGTCCAAATCATCCCATCGGCAGCAAGAACTATGGCTTCTGTTTTTTTACCATCCTCTGCAAAAGCCCCAGCGCCCTTTGATGCCACCCGCCGAACGGCATCCGCAGCACCCATTATAGCATTGCGC